TCATCGATGTCGGCATCGTCTTCGACTACCACGCGATGAAATCCCAGGCCGATCCTCTCCAGCCTTTTTTCGTCGTCTTCCATGGCAGGATCCGAGCTGGTTTCCGTGGCTCGGCAGAACGCACGCAATACGGCCGAATCGCAGTTGCCTTCTTCCTCCTCGCTGGTTCCTTCCCGGTGTTTGTTGCTGCCTCGCTCCGCCACAAAGGTCACACGGTCTCCCTCCCCAAAGCACCCGCCCCGCAGGTACCCGGTGGGGCTCCCCGGAAGCAAAAAGTCCCCCGCCGCTTTGTTGTTGATGGTTTTGAGGACATCGCCCTCCACGAGGGGCGTRTTTCGGAGAAGCCCGTTGGAATGATTGGTGGCGATCATGTCGATAGAGAYGGATTGGTTGTCTTCCTCCCGTGGTTTCCCGTCGTCCTCTCCGCCGCCCCCCATCCTGGCAAGGCGCAGCCCGTACGATTTGGACGCCTCGTGGACGACCGTTACACTGATCCTGCCTGCCTCGGGCAAAAACGGCGGGGGACTCGATGACAAAGACAATTCTTTCTCGGAGGGCATGGGAACTGTGATCGAATTCGAATTCAAGGGAGAGGAACACGATGAAACGGTCCGAGATGGTTCGAGGTCTGGAATGGTTCCGAAGGCTGCTTAATATCCTTCTTGGGCTTCTAGTGTTTGTTCTTCTTTCCAAAGGAGAGATTTGTGATGAGAGAAATCGGACGTTCTTTATTCTCGTTCGCTCGCGAGAACACGACAGAAGGTATGAAATAAATTGAGTGGATGCACCGAAGAAGTCGAGTAAGATGCAATGCGATGCCATGCCATTCAACGAGATTGGGATGCCGAGACAGGCGAGAAGCATTGCGCTTTCTCAGTATTGCTGTGAGGCAGTATTTTCGTTTGCAGAATCAATCACAAGGCCTCAAGGTGCACCGTCACGTATCCCAAAATCCCAAAAAGTGTCTGAAAATCTGACAGGGTGCGCGATGCTCTCGATCGCATTTTGTAGTGCTGTACTTCTACGAAGACTCGTATCCTACTGTATGCTACGTACAGCTATCCACTTTTGACATAGATAAGTTCATACCCATACGGGTACTTGGTACCACAACCAGAGGTATGATCATATCCACACAGGTATGTTAAGGTAGGATCATACGCACCATTACTACTAGTGACCATTTCTCGTCCTTCCGTCGACTCACTTCAGAATTCGTGCCATCACCGTCATCAATATTTTTCGGGAAAACAAAGAAAAATTCAAACATGGTTCCAAAATCTCGAATCATCGTTCTCGTTCTCTCTCAGCATCATGACCGCGGTACTCGTACGAGTAACACCGGTAGTGTCGAATAGCTACGATACTGCACATCCGAATAGAGAACCTGAGCAAACAGAGGAGGGACAACAGAATGGAGGATTCCAAAATGGAGGACGCTCCCGCARCTGTTGGTTCGATGGACAGAAAACCGGACGAAGCTCCGGCAGCTGATGTCACCGAGTCTTTCCCTGATCAGAAAAGAAAAACAGATGATTCAGAAAACAATACCAAAGCAGAGGTTCAAGAAATGCTGCTGCTGAAACCATATTTCGAATCAAAGGGTGTTTCAAAAGACGACATTCAAACGACGATTCGTGTGCTTGCCGCCATTACGGACCTGTCCTCCTCTTCCAGGAAAGACAGCACCAGTAAGCACAGCCGCATGCGCGACTATCATCCAAGTTCCAAAAAGCGCAAAATAAGCAGCGGGGAAGACGACAACAATRCTACTGCTRCYGTCGAAGAAAAGAAAGAAGACGAAAACGATGCCACCGAGGAAAAAGAAACAAAATCCAATAGTGGCAACCCCGAATCTCCACCGCTATCTCTCCTGCTCAACGAGTATCGAACGGTGAAGGAGCTCCGCCCCTTTCGGAAGGCCCTCATGCAGTGCTATGCTAAGATTGTCAAGCCGACACTCTTCGATGGACACTCGTCCCTTGGTAACTACCAAAAGCACAAGGAGAATCTGAGCCTGTCCAAGAAACGAAAAATGGCAGAGAACCACCAGCAGCGCAAGCACCTCGCCAATACAATGCTTCGGAAAGGGCGCATCGACAAACTCAACGCCAAATTGGAAGAGGGGAAGGACGAGGAGCAAACGAAACTGCAGGCGAGGATGATGATCCCCGATGGCCACGTGGATACGGATACTACTACGACAACCCTGGCAATCGAGAACGGAAGCTGCAACAAMCCACCATCCAAAAACGATGCATCGGGCCAATCACGGGCCACCGATGCGAAATGCTCCACTCCCCCGGAGGTGGAAACCGTGGACGAGAGCGGAGAGGCATCTNTCATCGATGTCGGCATCGTCTTCGACTACCACGCGATGAAATCCCAGGCCGATCCTCTCCAGCCTTTTTTCGTCGTCTTCCATGGCAGGATCCGAGCTGGTTTCCGTGGCTCGGCAGAACGCACGCAATACGGCCGAATCGCAGTTGCCTTCTTCCTCCTCGCTGGTTCCTTCCCGGTGTTTGTTGCTGCCTCGCTCCGCCACAAAGGTCACACGGTCTCCCTCCCCAAAGCACCCGCCCCGCAGGTACCCGGTGGGGCTCCCCGGAAGCAAAAAGTCCCCCGCCGCTTTGTTGTTGATGGTTTTGAGGACATCGCCCTCCACGAGGGGCGTRTTTCGGAGAAGCCCGTTGGAATGATTGGTGGCGATCATGTCGATAGAGAYGGATTGGTTGTCTTCCTCCCGTGGTTTCCCGTCGTCCTCTCCGCCGCCCCCCATCCTGGCAAGGCGCAGCCCGTACGATTTGGACGCCTCGTGGACGACCGTTACACTGATCCTGCCTGCCTCGGGCAAAAACGGCGGGGGACTCGATGACAAAGACAATTCTTTCTCGGAGGGCATGGGAACTGTGATCGAATTCGAATTCAAGGGAGAGGAACACGATGAAACGGTYCGAGATGGTTCGAGGTCTGGAATGGTTCCGAAGGCTGCTTAATATCCTTCTTGGGCTTCTAGTGTTTGTTCTTCTTTCCAAAGGAGAGATTTGTGATGAGAGAAATCGGACGTTCTTTATTCTCGTTCGCTCGCGAGAACACGACAGAAGGTATGAAATAAATTGAGTGGATGCACCGAAGAAGTCGAGTAAGATGCAATGCGATGCCATGCCATTCAACGAGATTGGGATGCCGAGACAGGCGAGAAGCATTGCGCTTTCTCAGTATTGCTGTGAGGCAGTATTTTCGTTTGCAGAATCAATCACAAGGCCTCAAGGTGCACCGTCACGTATCCCAAAATCCCAAAAAGTGTCTGAAAATCTGACAGGGTGCGCGATGCTCTCGATCGCATTTTGTAGTGCTGTACTTCTACGAAGACTCGTATCCTACTGTATGCTACGTACAGCTATCCACTTTTGACATAGATAAGTTCATACCCATACGGGTACTTGGTACCACAACCAGAGGTATGATCATATCCACACAGGTATGTTAAGGTAKGATCATACGCACCATTACTACTAGTGACCATTTCTCGTCCTTCCGTCGACTCACTTCAGAATTCGTGCCATCACCGTCATCAATATTTTTTGGGAAAACAAAAGAAAAATTCAAACATCGTTCCAAAATCTCGAATCATCGTTCTCGTTCTCTCTCAGCATCATGACCGCGGTACTCGTACGAGTAACACCGGTAGTGTCGAATAGCTACGATACTGCACATCCGATAGTCCTTGGAACGAACCGACCTGTCAACATTAGAGAGCCTGAGCAAACAGAGGAGGGACAACAGAATGGAGGATTCCAAAATGGAGGACGCTCCCGCAGCTGTTGGTTCGATGGACAGAAAACCGGACGAAGCTCCGGCAGCTGATGTCACCGAGTCTTTCCCTGATCAGAAAAGAAAAACAGATGATTCAGAAAACAATACCAAAGCAGAGGTTCAAGAAATGCTGCTGCTGAAACCATATTTCGAATCAAAGGGTGTTTCRAAAGACGACATTCAAACGACGATTCGTGTGCTTGCCGCCATTACGGACCTGTCCTCCTCTTCCAGGAAAGACAGCACCAGTAAGCACAGCCGCATGCGCGACTATCATCCAAGTTCCAAAAAGCGCAAAATAAGCAGCGGGGAAGACGACAACAATRCTACTGCTRCYGTCGAAGAAAAGAAAGAAGACGAAAACGATGCCACCGAGGAAAAAGAAACAAAATCCAATAGTGGCAACCCCGAATCTCCACCGCTATCTCTCCTGCTCAACGAGTATCGAACGGTGAAGGAGCTCCGCCCCTTTCGGAAGGCCCTCATGCAGTGCTATGCTAAGATTGTCAAGCCGACACTCTTCGATGGACACTCGTCCCTTGGTAACTACCAAAAGCACAAGGAGAATCTGAGCCTGTCCAAGAAACGAAAAATGGCAGAGAACCACCAGCAGCGCAAGCACCTCGCCAATACAATGCTTCGGAAAGGGCGCATCGACAAACTCAACGCCAAATTGGAAGAGGGGAAGGACGAGGAGCAAACGAAACTGCAGGCGAGGATGATGATCCCCGATGGCCACGTGGATACGGATACTACTACGACAACCCTGGCAATCGAGAACGGAAGCTGCAACAAMCCACCATCCAAAAACGATGCATCGGGCCAATCACGGGCCACCGATGCGAAATGCTCCACTCCCCCGGAGGTGGAAACCGTGGACGAGAGCGGAGAGGCATCTGACGGGAAGGCAAACGCAGCTACTCACGCTGGCAATGCCACAGAGCTCCCCAAGCTCCGGTCTTGCTATGTCTGCAAGTCCCGCTTCCGGATCCTCCACCACTTTTACGACCAGCTGTGCCCGACCTGCGCCGACACCAACTGGACCAATCGGCACAAGACCCGCGACTTGACCGGAAAGGTTGCGGTCGTRACGGGATCGCGTGTCAAGATAGGCTACCAGACCTGCCTCAAGCTGCTGCGGGCGGGGTGTTTCGTGATCGCCACTACCCGCTTCCCCAATGCAGCGGCTGCATCCTATAGGGYCGAGCCCGATTTCGAGTCGTGGAAGGACAACCTCGAGATATACGGACTCGACCTRCGCGACGTGACCGGCCTGGAGCTTTTTTGTCGGTACCTCCAGCACAAGCTGGGCATCTCGAGCAGCGCCGATGGCGACAACGGCAACAGTGGCTGTGGTTTGGACATTCTCATCAACAACGCTTGCCAAACGATTCGGCGACCCACGGCCTACTACCTTCCGGCTTGCCAGAGAGAACAGGAATTGTGGAAATCGTCCGATCCCACCCACAAGGCCTTGCTGAAGGGATGCATGGAATACGAGAAATTGCGCAGGAGGCTACACCTCACAAACAACAACCACCATTCGGCGGCGTCGTCATCGTCGTCGTCGGGGATAGCGGCGCCCATGATGCTGGGGGGGACGGACCACGAGGCAACGGCTGGCACAACAGCAATTTCGGGAACGTATGGTACTACGAGTGCTGTTCCCGAGTCCAATGGCAACACAGGGAATGAGTCTCCGAATGCCACAAACACAACRATAACAACTTCTGCTACGTCTGCTGTGGCCACAACCTCCAGCAGCCCRAACAGCAATCCGTTTGAGTCTACCGGCATGAGCCACTCGGCGGCAGCCTCGCAAATGATTATCTGTCCGGAGGACGTTGGTGTGGACGAGTCGGTCCTCCCCAAAGGCCTGAGCGACATCAACGGGCAGCAGCTCGACCTGCGAAAAACCAACTCTTGGTTGCTCAAGATGGACCAGGTGTCGACCCCCGAGCTAATGGAATGCATGTTCGTCAACGCCATTGCCCCCTTTGTGCTGAACTCCAGGCTCCAACCCCTTCTGGTGCATCGCGGCAAAAACAAAAACAACAACGCCACTGTGCCCAACCGGTATATTGTCAATGTWTCCGCCATGGAGGGCAAGTTCTATCGGTACAAGATGGCCAACCACCCGCACACCAACATGGCCAAGTCCGCCCTGAACATGATGACACGGACCGCGGCGGAGGACCTGGCCAGAAACCACTCGGTCTACATGAACAGCATCGACACGGGGTGGATCAACGACGAAAACCCTCTCGAAAAAGCGGCCAAGACCGCCAAGGTCAACAACTTCCAGACGCCGATCGATGAGATCGATGCCGCCGCCCGGATCCTCGATCCGATCTTGTCGGATTCGAAGGTGTACGGAAAATTTCTGAAGGACTACCGCGAAACCGAATGGTAGGACGGAGCGGTACCGTATGCGAATCCATCTGCGCATCGATCCGTCCGTGTGTAGAAAAAGCCACGCTGGCTATCGATCGTAGGTGCAATGCATCTACGAATGAACAACTACCGGAYCATAATGTGCGGATTGATTCTTTTTCGTTGAATTGCCATTGCATTTACTTAGTCGAAAAGCTTTACTCCTCAACCCATCCTGTGTCCCTCGTGAGAAACTTCAGAACTTAGGAACGTAACGTTTGGGTCAATCGTTCGTGTTAGACTAGCGTTTGGAACACAAACGTTAGTAACATTTTCACAAACGTTTACCCCCCACCGTTCCTAACGTAAATCACACTACATGAGAGCCTCCCTAATTCATATTTGTGACTGTTATCATTGGTGGCACTCATGTCTGTATTGTTTAATAAGGTTATGTTCTGCTATTCCCAGAAAGATTTAAAAAACAGCAGTACACTCAAAATACCAGTGATAGAAGTAATTCTGCCCACAGACTCACTTTCAGGTCAATAAGTCTGTGAAATGAATACTTGGATGTTACAGCTACTATCTATATTCTTGTCTCTTGTTATTAATATACGGGACTGTATTATTTTATGAAGTTAAGTACAAATATATCTGGAGAGATACAACCAGCAGTATACTCAAAATAACAGAATTAGTAGTATTAATTCTGACAGGAGACTCCATTGGGGTCAATAAGTCTTTGAAATGAGTACTTTGATGTGACAGATATGTATATATATATAAATATTCTTGTCTCTACTCATAACTAATACATAAGACAGTTTTATTTTACGAAGTCTATTGTTGATATTCCTCAAATGATAGTATCAGTAGGACACTCAAAATACCAGAATTAGTAGTAGTAATTCTGCCGGAAAACTCACATTGAGGTTAATAAGTATCTGAAATTCTTACTTTGATGTTAAAGCTACTAAATATATTCTTGTCTCTTGTTAGTAATAATGTACTTGAGATATTCCTGAAATGATAGTACCAATAGTTTGCTCAAAATACCAGCAGTATTAGTAGTTATCTTGCCCCCCGTATGCTTGTATGTTGTGATCAGTACACAACACAGTGTTGGGCCCATCACTCAAAGTGATTTTTATTGTCTTTTATGATCATCACTGTTACACAAAACAGTATGGGGTCCATCACTCAAAAATATTTGGTCAAAAATCTTGTCTTGTTATTTATTGTATTTATTTTTTGAATTTGATGTTGGAAAAGGTCAAGTTGGGAGGTACTTATTTAACAGCAGTAACAACTGACACAGCTAAGAAAATGAGCTTTCTTGGGGTACTGCTGGAGTACAAGGGCACTCGCCATATTTATTGTGCTGATCATGAAATGCATAACATTTGMAAGCAGGCATGCCAAAGACTCAAAGACAACATTTGCAATGGGAAAAGAATTGTGATACTAGTTGAGGCAAACTGGCTCTCTTGGAAGAATTCAACATCAGTTGGAAAGATAATGATGCTGCAGTTTATCAATTATTGTAAGGACTCACACCAAATTGTGGCAAGAGAAACAGACAGGAGGGGATGATCCACCAAATTCTGACAATTGCTACCACCTTCCTTGACCCAAGAACCAAGAGCTTGGTATCCATTGGAGAAGATGAAAAAAGGAAAAAAGATGTTYACCCCAAAGGAAAAATCAAAGAAGATATTTGCAGCAAAGTACTGGAGCTGATGAAAGAGTTTGAGTCATCATGGAGGCAAGAACTAGTAGGTAACATCACCATGGAACAAGTTGAAGAAGGAGATACTGGTATTGATAATGGGGGTGTCAATAATGGTGGCAATGATGCTGACATGAACATGAACATGAACATGAACATGAACATGAACATGAACATGAACATGAACATGAACATGAACATGAACATGAACATGAACATGAACATG